TTACCAGTGGCCATTGTAATGCGTGGGGCTGACTGGTTCCCCTTAGTCAACCCCTTGGATGGATCACTGTCTGTATCTTCATACTCCTGGCCCTCAAGCTCCAGAGCCTCATACCTACTGTGTAAGGGCACCTGGGGGGGCGAGGCAGGCCGAGAGAGGATTTGCCTCCTGTGCCGAGCAGGGATCTGTTTCCATCCCTCTCAATATCTTGGGTCCCCTCCTTCTGCCTGGTGGCAAGAGGGTAGGGGAGCCTCTCCTTCTCTTGATGCTTCCATCTGGTGTGCTCGTCTCAGGGACAGTAGGGAGTGGCTCCAACAGTCTATATCCCTCTCATACTCTCTGATACTCCTCAGTCTTCCTACTTCTTCTTTCAGCTCTGCTACCATGCTGAGCAGATCCTCCACCTGCTCGCACCTCAGAGCAAGGCTCTGGCACTCCCTGCAGCCAGAGACCTGGGTGGCTGCATGTTTTAGTGGGAGCTCCCTCTGCGTCACCACATCCCTTCTGGCGACGGCTCTTGTCCGAGTGGGGCCCTTGGTTAGTTCTCTTCATATATATGCATGCAAAGTTCTACAATTTATGGGATGGAATGTATTTTTTTTTTAGATACTACTGAATTTCAAGTGCTACTAAGAATATTTAAATGAATTTGATTCATACTTAGTCACAACCACTTGCAGCAAAACAAGAAATTTTTCTCTAGAGAAGGTTACAACATAAATATGGAGTCAGCTGTTACTACAAAGAAAAATGAAGAAAGATGATTCAGTTAATATAAATGAAGAAACAGGTATTGCAAGGCAGAAAAAAAAAATCAAGTTAAAACCAGCATTTGTTACACGTATTGCTAAAAACCACATACCATCAATGGCAAATCTTATAAGGTACTGTTGGCGATTCCCTCAAAAGAAGCAACAACAGAAGAAATCAGCAGCAGTACATTACAAGTTGCCACTGCTGCAGGAACCTGCATGCACAAAACTGATGGGAAACTATGTTCTCGCTGGCTGACCAAATCGCAGTGTAGGGTAGGAGTGGAGGGGGAAGGGACGCTGAGTGCTCACCAGGTGTAACGGCAGGAAAAAAGAAACAGAAAGGTCATGCTTATCCCAAGGGGAAAAAAAATGCAAAATTAAACACGGACCAGCGCAGATGAAATTTTACAACTGTTATTAATATTGCATGTGGATCTGTAGTTACCACAGATGAGACAACAGGTAGTTTTAATGAAGGGAATATTATTCTCTCTCAATTCCAAAGCATTACATGCGTAAATCGCTCAAAAAGAAGAGACGTGATCCTTAAAACATTTCTGTGCTTACATATTGAACTTCCAAATTGATCGTATAAATGAAAAATAATTCAATCGCAGATTAAAAACAGAAGGCTCAAATTAACTAACTGGATTAATTATGACGGTAGGTTTTGCACATTAAAATTTGACATAAATCCCCACGCAGTTAACTAACAGGACAAAAATTATAATATAGTACTAGGTGGCATGGAAAAAAGCAGTAAAAGCTATCTGAAATTTAACCAGACTTTTATAAGTTTTAATAGAAGCTGCTTCACTTTCTCATCATCTGTTCTATTAATAATTTAGAAAACTATAAAACCTGAGATTGAAGTGTTTTTTTTCTGTGGGTAATTTAATATTTTTAACTAGCTCCAAACCATTGCCTGTTAATGTTATTCAGCTGACCTACACAAGTGACACTTACTAACAGATTACGAAATACTCCAAGAAAGGCTTCTCATTAATTATATTTAAAGAGAAACTCTGTCTCAGGTACATCTTACTAAAGTACCACCTTCATTCATCAAATTCTAACCAACACTATAGTTCCCCACACCTTCACTGCTTGTTCTAGGCAGGCAGCTTTAATATTTCAATGGTGAACTTTTGACCATTGATCATTCATATGCAGACAATAAGCTTTTGAAGTAAATTCAAGCAGTTTTATAGAGCGGCAACTCAGATGGCAAACAGAACAAGCCCATCTACTCATAAAAATGATACAAAAGAGACGAATGCATGAAAAAACAGATTCATGGAAATAGGAAAAAGTAGAAATTGCAAATTTAAGCAATTTCACTAGCTGTACAAATCTTACGACTACTGAAATGAGTCACGGTGGTGTGCTATCAAACATGTATCTATATCACGTATAAATATGATAATTTTATCGTAAATAAAACAATTCACCTTCTCTCTCCTCCTCAATCTGAGCCATTCTCAAGGCCATAGCAGATTTCTCTTCTCTGACTTGATCATGGGACTCCTCTGACTCCGGTACATTTTCTTGCCATTCCAAGAGCTGACTCTGCAATTCATCCACACTACCTGATTCACTGGCCTAACGAGAGAAATTGCGCATGAGAATATATTTACCAAACCCCACTGCAAATGTAAATAACATTTTAAGTTGGCAAACTATTCACAGACAAAACAACCCGTTATAATTCACCACTTTGCATAAATAAAAATCCATGGAAGTGATAATTGCTATTGTAGATCATGTAAAAAGCAAGTCTCACCACTTCATAAAATATCAAAAATGCTATTGCCAGTTGCACTTTTAATCTCAAATATTTTCAAATGAAATATGACTTTTTTAACCAAAATATTTTTGGTGCACATTTTCATCTTAGCAATGTTTCAAAGTAAAACAATATTAAGCTGTCTTTATGCGGGGTAACAAATCTCTATTAACTTTTTTCCCCGGAAACAGAACAAAAATGTTTCTGCCTTCCCATCAAAATAAAAACTATTTTAAGATTTTACCAAAGAAACTCACCTTCTCCACAGAATTTGGAAAAAATAATTCTTTTTTAGCAAAATATAATTAACTGTTTCAAATTGGCTCTGCTGCTAGGGCTGTACAAAGTTACCATGATTAATATATACCATTAATCCATCTAAAGCCTTTTAGCAGAATTTTCTTTGTTATCCAGACCTATACCGTTGTCAAGGTTACAGCTATTATTTCCTTCTGAAACCCATTCGTATTGTATACAAAGTAACAGCCACACTTTGATGACTCATGTTAAATGAAACTAAATAAAAAGTAAACTGCTTGGAAAAACATAATTTAAGGTATGTGGAAAAGTCAGTAGAAATCAATCTTTTTAAGTAATTCAAAACCTGTCAGCTTGTTTTCCAACTGAACAGCTATGACACTGACAGTTCCGTGTATCACTACGTTCATTTTCAGCTCCAAAATCCAGCTAACGCACTTTTCAAAGTTTAATTAGCACTTTTTGAGTTAATCAGTAACTCATACAAATAAATTTTAAAGCTAACCTGTGAAGCTGCCCTTTTTGTAACTTGGTCAAGATCAGCTTGCAATTTCCTTTGCTGCTCTTCATAGACTTCCAGTTTAGTCAGCAATTCTTCTATAAAAACATAATAAATTTGGCTCATTGGGATGCAAAAATAATAGTAAGATCAATAAAAATTTAAAAGAAAGATTAAAAATGAAAATTCAGATAATAATACATTTCAGTTAGAAGTCCTCTGTTGGGCTGTGTTTTCCATCTACCCATGAAACTGAGTTCTTGATTATTAGATATTGATGAGTGCTTTAAATCTAACTCGCTAACAATTTAGATTGATGAACTGAAAATTCTACCATTCTTCATTTACAGAAAGGATAATAGAAAAGGATAAAGAAAATAACACAAGGTGAAACAGAAAAATCTCTCATAGAACTCTACTTTAAACTATCTGAAGTTATAAGCAAAAATTCTCTCTCAAATCCTTACAAAAGAAAAATATTTGAGATAATTTTTTATTTACTTGAAACTCACTGCTATCAAAAGTTTATTGTATATACTCTGATAAATTTTTCCAAATATGTTTGGCCTCATTTTTCCTCCTAAGAAGGTGCCTCCTCCCCTTCCTGGAAAAGTTTACACAGACTCTGCCTAGGCCAAAATGCAACAAGTATGATGCACAGGCAGATTTAGGGAAGAAAAAGCTGAGCTGTAACTCTGACCTAAGTACTGTATGCTATTGTTCAAAGTTGCATGAAGTTATTTCAGAATCTGTTTAAAAACAAAGATACACTTTGAAAATGAAAACGAGAAAGTTCAATTATCTTTGTCTCTTCATTTTGAATCATCTGCAAAAGAAAAATACTTTTTTTTACCATTTTGAGTTCTGATTTCATATAACGATTGCAGTTTTGACTGTAGTTCTTCATTTTCAATTTCTAATTCTGAGACACGATTGTTTAAGGCAGATACATCATTATTCTTTGATGAAAACTAAAAGAAAAAATATTTATGAGTTTTTCAAATGTACCAAAACACCAGAAACACAGCAAAGTCAGTGTAACTTTTATAAATGATTTTTTAGCAAGACTTGGAATAGCTGTTTTTCTAATATTCGAAAGTGCAATAAACTAGCTAATCTCTAACAAATTTACTCCTGAATACTGGTAACACCAGTTTGTACTATTTTTTGTTAAAATTCATCCTGTATCAACATTTTATGTCCATTCAATTTTTATACATTTATTCATATATAAATGACACTTCGAATAAATTATTTTAATATTCTATTTACCCCATTTTTTTTTTCAGTCAAATCTCCCAGCACAGTAGTTTTAAAAACAGGCATATAATATTAAGCAATGTTACACATACATTTTTTAGTTCATCCTCCAGTTGTTTGATTCTTGATTTAGACCAAGCCTTCATTTTCAGAAACTTTGCTTCAGATTTGCTGGCCTCTTCCATTTTCAATTTCACTTGTACTAAGAAACAAGACAAAAAAATATTTAAAACTCTAGAAAGATTATTAATACAAGACCTGCGTTTAATTCCTTTAGCAATTGGAAATTATACACTTATACAAGACAACTGCATTTAAAGAAAAACATAACAATAAGAGACATAGTGAGAAATTTACAGTTAGTGTGATTATCTTGGTACTCCTATAACCCTCATTATTATAGTATTTTGAGCATAGATACTTTTTATTAGTGTGACAATAACTCTTCCACCAAATTTAACGTAGTTCTACATGCAAGAGGTATGAAATTGGCATACAATACATGACAGCATGGGGCAAAGGAACACTTCAGATGTAACAGCTGTTTATTTAGGATACCTTCTAAATCTTCCATCTTCTCTTTGGTTATAGACTCCAGATCTCTAACTTCTTTTGAGTTAGTCTGTCCGCTGCCACTTAATTCTGCCACTTGTTTCTTGAGCTGAAACAGGGCTTGATCTTTCTCTTGCAGCTCAGTTTCATGTTTCTCTTGAATTTCATGCAGTTCAGCATTATATTTCTCCTTAACTTTTGTCATTTCAAGCTCATGTTTCTCCATCATGTCTCTTAACTGGGCTCTCATTACATGTTTCTCAGCATCCAGTTTAGACTGGAGGTTTTCTTTTTCAGACTGAAGACGTTTCACGTTTTCATTAATCTCCTGTAAAAACAAACACACTCCTTTAGTTTTCAATGCAAAGTATTTTTAGTACCACTGTCAAATATTAGATCTGTATTCCTACATATATTATAATCTGAAATCAGTGCTACTGTTGGTAACCTGGCTCTACTACAACTACAAAAGCTACTCAGCTCTGACTTTCCAAGACAGAAGCAGGGACTTCAGCAAAACGGCATCCTTATTTGACTACATGCAACCTCTCCCATCGGTGAAAATGGAATAAAAAAGAATGTTTGGTCCTACAGAATATTAAAAAAAAAAAAAAAAAGGTGGAAGCAGATTTTTAACAGTGATCCCAAAGATTAAGAATGCTCACTACAATGCCACCCAGGTGTTGTCACCTACATCCATTACAATTAAAGTCGGCAAACTGATCCAGTTGTTCTTTACAATATTTTGTTGCTAGTTACTGCTTAGTCTACTTTTACTGCCTTTACATTAGTTACTTTAATACCCAGAGGCAGAAAAGATTACGGATCACTGTAACAGAGCAGTCTGCTCACATTAGACCCGCTGTTCAAAAAAAGGCAACTTTCACAATACATAAACCTAGGAATATAAACTGTCCAAGTAAAGAAGCTGTGCAGAACAGCAGAAGGAACATTTCCAAAATATGGGTGAAAACTGCTTATGTAAATAATGCAAGGCTTCCTGCTATTTTAATACTAAAGCTGAGATTCCATTACAGTTTAAAGTGCTTTAAGTTCATGTTGTCATAGTCAAACTTCTCCCTGTCCTCAAGGTGGGCATTTCTGTCCCCTCAACGCGCTAGCATTGGGTACCATCAGTTCTTGCAGAGCATCAGTGTAGGAAGATGCATCTAACCCAAAAGAAAAAAGAAAAACCCAAAACGAAAACAAAAACAAAAACAACAAAACCCCACATAAGGCAGGAGGCGTAACAAATGGGAACAACAAATGAAACAGGCTTAAACTACCATGGATCTTAACTACCTGAGCAGAACGTCTACCTGGGTACATAGCTGAAACTATTTCTAGTAAGATTTTGATTCTGGCAGCCCTCTTGGTAAGTGGAAAATTTGTTGGAAATAGTATAGCTGAAATGTCTGGGACCCCAGACAGGCTATAATGTGTCTGTTTCAGCAGAGTGCCAAAAGCCCAGCTGAGAGACTGCAACATCCTTTTCCTACACTGCTGAACTGAAGCAGCAGTGCTCGAAGGCTATAATCAGAGTTCATGCTAGGTACTTAAAGACAAAGAACCTCGATCAGGTATTGCTTTTGCAATCAGCAGAAATACAGCAGAAGGAAAGGCACAGTACTAGCAAAACACTCTCTTGGGGGGGGAGGAAATGCCTCTGTTTTGGGGCTCACTGCAGTCTCTACCTCCAGAAGCTGAAATCTTTCGACAGCAAAAAGTCTTACCTACATGGCAAGTTCCCAAAACGAACCAAGACAAACTATCGGTGAGAGTTGACAGTTTTATATTTCATGGACTTTACCTCTCCTTCAAGGTAATTTCCTAACTGGAATTATTACCTGTTTGCACAACCATGGTTGCATTATTAGCACATGTCAAAGCCTCCCAGAGAACTGCCTAATTATGCTATGCAAAATTATCTTTTGTGCACAACAAAAAGGCTTTTTCAACTTTTATTTGACCTGATGAGTTTAGTTGTGCACGTATGCTATTTCTTACTTTCAATTGCTGGTCTTTGGCATCCAGTTCTTTTTGCAAAACATCTATCACCTGTGTCCTTCCCAGCATGACTTCTTCCTTTTCATGGAGCTTCTGTTTCAAGGCCTTTAGTAGCTAGCAAAGAAAAAAAAAAAAAAAATCAAGCAATCAATAAAGGAGTTGAAAGTTTCAAAAGAGAAAGAAAAATAATTATCTTTATTTTCCCAACCAGACATCTGAACTGTGCCACAGAGGTTAGTAATTACATGATGCCAAATTCCGATGTCTAACTAAATCAAAGCAAGCTACTGAGTTTCCAAAGCAACATACCTGTTCTAGGTCAGCACTGGCATCAGCTTTAGCAGCTAATTTAAAGAGCTCCTGCTCATGCTTTTCTCTCTGTGCTTCCAGTTCCTTTTCCTTTTCCTGGATAATATTTTGAAACACACGTACCTAAAAACACATAGAAAGTAAATACGAAACCAGTCCACAAAGGTATAGTAGAAGTACACTGAATTGTCTAACTAAAGGTACAGCAAGATAACGTATTCTATCTTAAGTCTGAATTTTGCTTCCACTTAACAGTAAACATAGTAATCAGTGATTGCTGACATCAGTGGTGCATGCGGATAAACCTCCAGCTTACAGAAAATTTGTCTCAATTCCACAATAACAAACTTTAAATGAGAAGCATGCTACCATTCATTTTTGTTTAATGTCACAGATCTTCACCCTTCTTTTTTGGATGCCATTGTTCTGAGACTTCTAATTTCTGAAAGATTGCACTGATCGTGTTCTTTTCTAGCAATTTTCTATCAATTAAGCCCAAATGGCAGCTTTGAAGCCTAGCTGCCTCCTCCACAAAAACTTGTATTCTACCTCCAACGTGTCTTTGTTAGCTATCTGACAATTTTTATAAGAACTGGATATAATTTTTGGAATCTCATTAATGATATTTTGAACAAATTCACATAAAACCCTACCCAGATTTACACCGACATGATGACACTGTGCTCACCAAAATGGCTTTTACAGCCTCAACTGTTTGTCTTTTTCTTTCTTTCCTGTATCAAAACTAATTCCCTGTGTGCTACTGAACAGGGGTGGTCATGTTCGGGATCAAAAGTAGCATTTTTGTTACAGATAAAATAAACTCAGACATCAAATGATGTGGGAAATACTGAGATGAATAGTTTCATACATGGTAGAACTCAAATGCTGAGAGATCAGGCGCATCACATTAAAATCTGAGATTTAGCTTCCAAGGGAGTTGGAAGAGCGAGGTAACATCAAGGAAT